CGTTAGGCAAAGCGGCAGTCTGTACGCGCAGCGGCGCGGTGTTGTCGCCACCGGTCGAGACGCCGCCGGTCGCGCCGGAGCCGTCCCAGCCGGCCGAGAACAGCCAGCGCGCGGTCTTGCGTTCCAGGCCGGGCTGGGCCGCGTATTCATCACCCGCCGGGTAAGACGTGATGGTGATTTGCAGGCCGATCGCTTCACCACGCTGAATGGTCATGCCGGAGCGTTCGGAGACCTTCGCATTCAGCAGGTAAAGGCGCATCGCCTTGTCGCCGTCCAGCACGTCGATAATCCACTGCTGGGATTCGAATTCGGGAACGTCGCCTTCGTCGAAGTACCACGAACCATCTTCGTTGACCTTGATTTGGCCGCCCGGTACACCGAAGTACAGTTCGGCGTTATCGCGGGTGAACTGCCACAGGGTGACCTGAACGGACTTGACCGCGCGGGTCAAATCGGTTCGGATCGGGTTGACTTCCTGCCAAGGAATGAACTCGTTAGTTTCGTCGTCGAAGTTAATCGCGATGCCGTCCGGCGAGAGATAGCCGCGGTTGACGTGAATGGTCGGGTCGTACTTCGCGTTGAAGTTCTTCTCGACCTTTGTGCCTAGCGCCGCGGTACGAAGCGCACCGGTGACACCGACGCGAAGGGCGGCGGCGCGGAAGCCTGACAAAGTGTCCTGATCAGCCATGATTAGGGCCTTTCTATGAAATGACGACGACCCCACCCGGGATTGGGTAGGGCCGTTGTGAATGAGTGTTTTTAGACGGACAGGTGAATTTCAGCGTCGACGCCGAGACGCCGAACATTGGGATTTACATCGGGGCGGGTCGACATCGGGGGACATTCCACGAAGGTGACCCCCGTGCCGGGCATGGTCGGGAGCGCGTGCAGCAGGTCGCGCACGTCCGAAGCGACCGGAGTAGCAGCCGCCCGCGACGACGCGATCACGTCAATATCGAGCATGATCACCTCGCGCACCGACCCACCCGGCCCACCCCACGGCACGGTCTCCCCACCGGGTAGCAGGTCGATTCGTACCGCGGGAAGGTTCGCCGGCATGGCCTTATATTCAGGAAACACGTCAGCGATCCACACCCCCGGCATACACGACTGCAGCACCGTGATAATCGTTGCGAGCGCGTCGGGATATTTAGCGCCATTGGGTTCGGTCATCGTCGTACCTCCCGCGCCGCCCGGCGAAGTTGCCGAAGGCGTTTAGATTCCGACGACCCGTATTCTTCCTCCGGGTTATCGGAAATCACGTCGTACGCCATACGCCCGTTAGGCAGATACCGGCGCCGGACCGAGATGTTCGCTGTGCCGCCTTCCTTCGCGTTGATAGCGCGCGCGCGTTTAGCGACACGGCCGGCCCGGCCGGCGACCGCGCCGTCGGTCGTGGCGTGTTCGTTCGCTTGCCGAAAAAGGTCGTCCATATCGAGATCGACGACCGGCTGGTTTTTAGCCATGAGAGACCTCCAAGTCCAATTCGGTGTGCCGAAGTATCGGGTGATCCCAATCGCCGGTTTCACCGACAACGTCGAGATCGTGATCCCAGCCGTCGACGCGAATCCGGTCGGTCGGAGCGACGTCGAGCAGCCGGCCCGGCGGGGTGATAAGACGCCACCCCGATCGGACGAATACGCGCGACCCGTTTTCGGTTTCTTCCATACGCCCACCGGGCTGCAATTCGACACCGAAGGGGACGCGCCTAACGGTTGCTTGGTCCCAGTCGCGCACCATGCCGCCATACGCACCAGCGACCACCGGGGCGGTCACAACGGAGATCCGGGCGCTATACACCGCGGCCCCCGTTCCCGAGCGCATACCGGCCGATAATCGCCTGCTCGTCAGCCATGAGCACGCCCACGCCCGAATAAGTTTCCGACACCGACCCGGCGCGTACCGACGTTTGCCCGAGGGGGCTGGCGATTCGGCGGGCGGCTATGGCGAGGATTACGCCGTTTAGGTCGGGTAGTTCTTCCGGGTTTTTGCCGTGAGTTAATTCGATGGTTACGCGGCGGTATCCGCGGGGCCATACCCCGTGCACTTTTTCGATTAGCCCAGATTCAGACCATCGGTAAAAGTTGTCGGGGACTTCGCGGCCGTCGACGGCGAGGGTCGCCACGTCCTTTACAAGCGTAGAGGGTAGCGACAGTACCGACGTACCGGGTGAATCGAGGGTTAGGGTTTCGGTTCGTTCCGGCCATGGACACCAACCGATTTGTGCGATTAGCGCGTGCGCGGCTTGGTTGAGTTGGTCCACGGCGGCTTGGTCGCCGGCCATGACGCGGCCCCCGGTAGCGGCTTCCAATTGTTCGGTGGTCACCCCGTGTTCCGCGATCATGGCGACCACCTACTCCCCTTCGGCCGCTTCCGCGGCGTCGTCGGCGCCCTCCGGGGTGTCAGGCGCGGGCGCCTTGTCCTCGGGGGTTGCCGCCTTATTCGCCGGGGTTCGGCCCTTGGTCGCCGGTTTCTTCGCCGGCGCCTTCTTCGCGGCCGGGGCCGGCGTGGTTGCAGGTTTCAGCCCGCGGCGCGCCGCTTCCCCGTCGGACATTTGCACGACGTGATCAACGCCGTTAACCGGCATGATGTAGCGCTTCATGGCTTAGCCCTCCGATGCTTCCAGTTCGACCTTGACGAAGGCAGACGGGACGCGCACAGCAAGGCCGATTCGCTCTTCCGCGCGAATGGTCACCTTGTTGTTGATGAAATCGTCCTCGTTGGACGAAGTCGCAGAGACGCGAACACCGCCCTTTCGGTACACGGTGGAACCGAGGTCGAACGCGCCGACGATCGGCTTTCCGCGTTCCGCCGCCGGGGTAACAACGGTGTTCAGGCCCCACAGTGGTGGGTTTTGCAAAATGCCGCCGTTGCCGTAGGAGCCCTGGAAGAAACCGCCGCCGTAGTACTGGCCGTTGCCGTCGCGGCGTAGGCGCTGCTCTTCGTAATCGAGCGGGTGAATGACGACACCGTCGGCGGTGAGGTCGGTCGCGGTCGCGATCTTGGTGGTCGAGCGGAACACCGCGTCGGCCAAGTCGTCAGCACCGGCCGCGGTTTCGACCTGCACACCGTCACGGTTCAGCAGACCGCGCAGGTTGGTGCCAGCGCCGTCGCCGCGAAGCAGCTGGAACTCTTCGAACATCGACAGTTTGTGCATAAGGCGGTTGTCGATTTCCGACTTCAAGAATGGAAGGTCTTCCAAGAATTCGTCGGTGACCTTGATCCAGCCGGCGATCTTTCGGATCGGGTCGGTCTTGGAAGAAGGATTATCGAAAGACAACTGCGGCTTGGTCGCGCCTTCGGCCACGGTGGTGAAGTCGCCGTATTCGGCGCCTTCCACGAAGTAGGAAATCGCGTTACCGGAGACAGTGCCGGAACCCATGAGATCCGCAATTACCGGGCGCTGACGCTTCGGCTTCACGATGGTGCGGTCCACGTCGGTTAGCAGTGGGGTCAGGTCGTCGCCGTCGGTGGTGATCGTGTCGTTCGCGGCCTTTAGACCGAATTCGTCGGCCGATACGGTCATGCCCGGGTGTGACTTTAGCGCGCCGATGTTTTCACCAACGGACTTGACGAAGTGGTCGCCGAGGGTTTGCGGCGCGTTCTTCGCGTCGATGGAACCGCCGCCGAGGTCGACCGCCGGGTTACCGGCCGCCGCGATCAGGGCGTCGAGTTCTTTTAGTTCGGCGTTGATGTTGGTCGCGCGGGACTTCGCGTCATTGTCGCCGGCCGCGGCCTTGGTGATTAGCGCCATTGCCTCGTCTACGAGGGCGGAGCGGCGCTGCAAAAGCTTATCCATGATGTTTCTCCTTATGAGGTGGTCGCGCCGCCGGGGCGCGCGTAGATGGTTTTGAGAATGTCGGAGAGTTCCGGCCATTCGGTGGACTTTTCCGCCGGGGTAGCGTCGTCAGCCCCCGCGTCACCGTCGGAACCGTTGTCGGGTTCGTCAGGTTCGGCGGGGGCCTTAACGGCTTCCTCGACCACCGCCAGGCGGGCGAGAACGTCGGCGAAGTCCTTCGCGGTGAACGTTGTGTCGGGGGCGTCGATGGTGATGCCCGCCGGTGGGGTTCCGCCGGCCGCTTTCACGGCGAGGACTTCCGCTTCTGGGTTCGCGCCCATTGGCACGACCGAGACTTCGATCAAATCGACGTCGTCGACGTAGCGCACATAGTGGCCGTCTTTTTCTCCGTCGCGGGAGTTTTGGACCCAGAACGCGAACGACATTTCGCGCACGCGCTTCGACTTGAGTAGCCGATATACGGTCGCGCCCTTCGGCGAATCGAGGTCGATGGACACACGAACGCGAAGCCCGTGATCGTCCTCCTTCGCGTCGAGCACGTGACCGATGTTGTAGTCCGGGTCAGACATGTTGTGGCCCCACAGGGCCGGGATCGGCGCGTCTTTCGCCGCCCAATCGGCGAGCGAGCGAGCGAACGCGCCCTTCACCATCACATCCCCATAGGAATCGACGTTGTCGAACACGGAAGCATAGGCTTCGAATTCGGCGGTCTTGGTGCCGTCGTCGGCGGATTTAGTTTCTAGCGCCCCGATGCCGGCACGCAGAATTTTTGTCATGTCATGTCCTTTCGGGACGTCGGGAATTTCCGGCGGCGACTCGTACCACGCTTCAATCGCGGCAATCGTGCCCGCCGGCCGCCCATCGGTTTCGGCACGCGCCAAACATTCATCAATGCCGGGATCGAGTAGGTGGAACTCGGCGCCGACCCCGGCGAGCCGGGTTAGTAGCGTGTCGGAAGGGCGGCTGAAAATTAGCCACAGTTCATTCGGGGCGCCGCCGTCGAGTAGCCAGCCAGTCAGCCCGCGGCGCATCGACGCCATAGCTTCCGACACGTCCGCGGGGTAATCGTGGCCGAGGTCGTCCACGCCGGCGAGCGCCGACGCCATAAGGTTGTAATCGAACCGGGGCGCGCCCGGGGTAGCCATAGACGCGACATATGTGGACTTGCCGGCACAGGGTGGGCCGATAACTACGTGGATAGTCATGTTTCACCCCCTGGCAGGATTAGCCCGTCGGTCGATTTTCCTCCGGCTTCTTCTTCGGGTTCGGCCGGTTCCGCCGGTTCGTCGGGTTCGTCCGTGTCGGAGTCGGTCGCCGTTCCCACGTTCAAAGGTCGGATCAGGTCGTCGCCGCCTTCGATAGTCGGCATGTTTTCGCGTGAACGCGCTTCGTTAACCGTCATCCACGGACCACCAACACCGGCTTGGTAAACCGCGGCTTGTTCTTCGAAGGAACCGCGAAGCTTTTCGTGAAGGTTAAATTCGATGTATTGACCTTCGGGGGCGCCGAGCTTCGGCATGAGGAACGCATTTAAACGGTCCTCGATTTGCCGAATGATGGGGCCGAGCGAGTCGCCGTAAAGCATTCGCCGGAATTCGCGAACGTTCGAATAGTTCGCGTTATCCAGTAGGCCGAGCATTGTCGGGTTGATGTGGTAAACCGACGCGACCGTGGTAAGTGCGAGTTTTGCCGAGTCGACGAACTCTTCTTCTTTCGCCGCGAACCCGACGCGTTTCATTTCCATACCATCTTCGAGCAGCGGCACGCCGCCGCCCTGCGGTCCGGTGTATTGCGAACGGAATTCTTCGATAAACCGTTTACGGGTTTCCGGTTTCCAGTCGGTGCCAGCCGGTCGTGTCAGATACGAACCAACACGGCCGCCCTTCTTCCACATTTGCAGGCGGAACTGGTTCGCTTCCCACTGTTCCGCGATAATCGTGCGAAGCGCTTCCACCGGGGAGGACCCGGCGCGCGCGTCGGTTGGGTCCCAGCCGTGGAAGGTGATCAGCGAGTCGGCGGGGAGCTTTTGGATCTTTTTCGTTCCCGGTATCGCGACCGTGCACGCGCCGCGACTAAACGCCGTCGGGGATTCCCACCCTACGATCCAATTCGGTCGGATAAGGCGAAGTTCGAACCGTTCGGTCTCCGAATTCGACCGGAGCCACAGCACCGCGTCGTCATACAGTGCCAGCGTTGACACTAGGTCGTACACGAGCTCGTACCAGGTGGATTCCGGCGATGGCTGTTGTAGCAGCTTCGCCGCGGCGCCGTCACGTACCCGACGCCGGCCGCCGTCCGCTTCACGTTCGAGTACGTGCATACCGATTTGTGCGATATTCCGCGCGATGAAAGAAACGACGGTTCGCAGGTATGGCTGGCGGCGCCACAATTGGTCTACGGACTGGTTCAAAATATCCGAAGTGACCCGGTCGACGACGTTATAAGTCGTATCGGCGGGTGTTGCTTGGTAGGTTGAGCCGCCGCGAAGCCAATCCCAGAAACCCATATTCGACACCTCCTTTACTAAAAAATTCGCTAGATAAACATGACCGGCGCGCCGTCGTCGTAGGCGCTAACCTTTTCTTCCGGCAATGGTTGGTCGTGCAGCCACTGCGCCGCGGTGACAGCGACGATCGGGGTGACGTCACCGGTTGAGTTGTGTCGGTCCCAGATCCACGCGTCGGAAAGTTTGCGGTCCTTCGCGCCTTCCGCCGCCGCGTCTAAGACAGGTTGACCGCGGTGGCGAAGTTGATGCCCGGTGATCGCGTTGTAGTTCGCACCGCACGCGCGCACCAGGTGCGGGCCTTCCCAGCCGACGACTTCGATGCCGGCGGCTTCCAGGTCGCCGACAATTGCCGAGACCGGGGCGCCGCGCGATTGGCACGCGACCCGGCCGTCGAACCAGTCACACTCGGGATCTTCCATCCGCTCCTGCAGCCAGTCGGCGACCCAGTGCACGCCGGCGCGCGACGCGACGATTTCGGCATGACCGAGCCCGTCGGACCGTTCGGCATATATCGCGATGTGCGCGGCCTTCGAATCGGCCGAGACTTCCACACCGACCGATATGCGAGACGCCGGGTCCGGCATGGATTCCGGGTCGCGACAGACCTGCCAGTCGGAAGGGTCGATCTTGCCCGGTTCGAGGACTTCGACCCATTGGCAGAGATATTCGGTACGGAACCCGTTCTCCGGTTCCGACGCGGCAATGCCGGCCATGGTCGCTTCGGAGCGGTTTCCATAACCCAACGAAGGGTTAGCCGCCGCCCACGCTTCCGGGTCATGGATAGACGCGCCCGGAACCGCCGACCATTCAAACAGTCCCAGGCGAGTCTGGTCGGTCCGGTTGGTCTTGATCGCACGAACCGCGCCGTCACGAAGATCACGAAGTACGACCGACCGGTGGTCACCGGCGTTCGAGAATGCCCACACTTGCGAGCGGGGCCGCTCGATGGTCGTCGGGGTGATAGCTTCCCAGGCGTCCCAGTCGTAGTGTTCGCGAAGCTCGTCAAGTAGTGCGAGATCGGCCGAGACCGAGCGGCCGCCGGTACGTGACGCGGTCGTCACCGACCAGGTCGGCAAACCGCCCGACAGGTCGAGGACACCCTCGAGCCCTTCCGGTACGCGCGACAGTTCCATGCGGTACGCGCCGTTCTTTTTCGACATCCACTTGCCACAGTCGGGGTCGAACGGGTCGGGGTCGCCTGGTTTGTTGGGGAGCATGTCGGCGAGTTCCGCGGTGCGCGCGGCCATGCGGAAACCATCAACCAGCGATTCTTCGGCAACGCCGAGGTTTTGCGCGGTCGAGATAACACGGGCGGCGCCGTCCATAAAGATTCGCCACAGAGCGAGCACGACCATTAGCGTCGTTTTGCCGTTCTGCCGAGCCACCAGCACGACGATTCGGTCGAAGCGATAGGAGCCGTCGGGAAGGATTTCGAGGGCATGAATTAAAAGCCATTCTTGCCACGGTCGAAGTTTGATCCCTAGGATTTCCTCCGCGAAAGAAATCGCTTCGAACCCCAACGATGTTTCCGGCGTGAGTTCACGAAGGGGCGGGGTGAATAGGCGCGGTTCGGTCGACCCTTTAAGCGCCACCGGTGCCGCGGCGAGCTCTTAACGCCGCGAGTTTCGACGACGGGGTTACCGTCGCTTCCGCCGTTACGCCTTCCCCGACTTCGCCGCGGGCTTCCGGGGTACAGCCGAGCGCGCCCAACGTTTTTAGCAGGTGCGGACCGAGATATAAGGCTTTAGTCGCGTCCTGCCCGCCGCGTTCGATACCCGCGTCAATTTGCAGCGCGTAGCGCATAGCCAGGTCGACGGTCGCCTGGTCGGAATCGCCAATCGCGTCGCCGCGCGCTTTCACAGCGCGTACGACCGAAGCGGCCAAAGTGTTATCCGTTTCCATCGTCCTCCCCTCCTTCCTTGATTTGAGTGACCAACGCCAAACCCGAATCGGGTTCATGCGCGGCCTTGATAGCAGCCAGCCGGTCAGCGACCGACACGTGTTCGCCGTCGTCGTCGACCGGGGCGGGGTCACCTATCCGGTCGAGTAGCGCGGCGCGCTGTTCCGTGATTTTCAAAGCTTGCGATACCGCGGTCGAGTCCCCACGGGCCGCCGACTTCCACACCGCTAAAAGCAGCGCGTCAAGTCGAGCAAGATCCAGCCGCGCGGTGACTTCCGAAGATTCACCCGACCGGCCGGCAAGTTCCACGGCGACCAAGTCCTCGACTTCTTCCACCGATAGGTCGAGTTGTTCCGCGATAGACGAATAAGAGCCGCCGGCCATACGCAGCGCGACGGCGCGTTCACCATTAGACCTCACAGGAACGACACCTCCACCCCGTTACGAACCGGTGTAATGCCGGTGTGTTCCTGCCAGCGTCGGCAAATCACATCGACATACCGCGGATCGAGTTCCACCAGCCGGGCGCGCTGCCCGCCGTGGTGCGCGGCGATAAGCGTCGAACCGGAACCACCGAACAAGTCGAGCACGATGCCACCGGGCCGGCATGAGTTGGCGAGCATAGCGGCGACCAAATCAACCGGTTTCATTGTCGGGTGATCCTTCGACGACGGCGGTTTAGGAAAGTCGAACACGGTGGTTTGTTTGTTGTCGCCGAACCACCGCTCGCCACCACGGCCCAGCCGTCCTTCGCCGCCCGGGGTGAACCCGTACAGCAGCGGCGAATGATCCGGCACTTCGACCGCTTCCCCATCGTCGGGCGGTGGGGAAGGTGTTCGGCCTTCCAATATCGGTTCGTGCTTGTAGTGATAGTCAGCGCGACCGATAACGAAGTGGTGCTTAATCCACACCAGGTTCTGGCGCCATTCCAGACCCGCGGCCATAAACGCCGATTGGAAGTCATGCAGCAGCGGGCCCTGCGGCGAACACATGTAGACAGGCGCGCCGGGCTTCGCGGCAAGTACCGCGGTTCCCATAGCGTCACGAACTAGGTCGCCAATATCGGGATCGTCGTCATTTTCGATAGCCCGGCGCGCGGTGCGTTTACCTTCGTACTTCACACCGTAAGGCGGGTCAGTCCACACACAGTCAGCGGCGCCGTCGTGCATGAGGTCCCCGAGGACCGCTTCTACATTCGTAGAGTCGCCACACATGACGCGGTGCGGACCGAGCTCGTAGACGTCGCCTTCCGCCGAGATAGTCGGAGTGTCGTCGACCGCCGGCGCGTCGTCCCGGTCGGTTTGTTCCTCCGGTTGACGTTGTGCCGCTAGTAGTTCGTCCAAATCGGCGTCGTCGTAACCGGTGCCAGCCATGTCGTCGAGCGATTCCAGCAATTCGACCAAGGTGGCTTCGTCATAGCCGCCGAGATCGGCGAGCCGGTTGTCAGCGAGGACTATCGCGCGGGCGGTTGGTTCGTCCACGTCGATGATGCCGACGTCGATCTGTTGCCAGCCGAGCGAGCGAGCGGCAAGCAACGTGTGATTGCCGGCTAGGACTTCCATGTCGCGGCCGGTATGAGTGCCGCGGTTGACGACGATCGGTCGGTATTGGCCGCGTAGATGCAGCGATTCAGCGACTTTGGCGACGTCGCCGCGGCGTGGGTTCTTTTCGAAGGTGTAGAGGTCGTCGACGTGAACGCGCTCGTAGGTGATTGCGTTGATTCTGGCCGTTTCGGTGGTCATGAGCGCGCTCCTTTCGAGCTAGTCGGCGGCGGCGTGGTCGCGCGCGCGATGGGTGGTCAGATTCCCGGGGGAGAGAGAGCACGGCAGCCCCCCACCCGTGGCCGGCCGGAGGTTCCTAGTGATTTAGGGTGCCCTTACCTGTCTGGTTGTCAGGTCGTCGGCGTGCGGTGTTGGTCACCAGGTGCGGCTGGTGTTTCCGAGTGAGTAGACGGCGGCGCGGTTGCCGCGGCGTCGGTTGCATGCGCCGTGGCTTGGTCGGAAGTTTGCCGGGTCTTCGATTAGGTCGGGGCGTTCGGATACCGGGTAGAAGTGGTCGAGTTCGAAGGCGTCGGGGTGTCCTTGTTCGGCTTCGTAGTCGATTTGTTGTCCGCATAGGTGGCAAACGTCTGCGTCGGCTTCGCATTGGGCGCGGTAGCGGGCGCGGGCGGCGCGGTAGGAGCGTGAATCACGGCGTTGGATTGCCATTTGTGGTCATTCTCCTTCGCGCATGAGTAAACCCCCGGCCCTTTGTTGGGAACGGGGGTTGGGTTGCGTTATTTCTAGCGTTAAGCGCAAGCGTAGTCGTATTTACCGGACAGCGCTAGTTGTACCTGCCAAACTTAGCCACGGTAACGGCTTCGTCCACGCGTTGTTGGTGGACGCGCGCGTTCGCAATGACTAGCGCGTGTTGCCAGTCGACAACGGTTAGCGATACATACCAGCGGTCTATTAGGTTGTTCCATTCGCAGATGGCCCAGCCGCCGTAGTCTCCTTTGCGTACGAATAGGCGGTCGGATTTGGGCCGGTCTATTAGTGGTGTGCGCATTAGTGTTTGAAGCTTTCTTGCCGGTATTCGATGTATCCACAGGTGATGCAGGTGCGTTGTTGGGTTAGTAGTGTGCCGATGATTGCGGAACTACCGTCGTCGGCTTGACCCCAGAGTGGTTCATATTTGGGGTCAGTCCAGCCGTCCCATAGGTGCGCGCAGTCGGTGGGCGGGTCGGGTTCGGCGCGCCGGGGTGTGCGTATGTAGGAGGTTGCGAACATGGCTAGTCCCCCGCCGCCGGCGAAGGCGAGGACGAAGCCGAGTAGGTCGAGCATGGTTCTGCCTTTCTAGTAGAGCGAGGTATATCGGCGTTGGAGTGTCTTTAAGACGCTTTGCCCGTGTGTGCTCATGACTAAGCCTTGTTCGGGGCGGCGTGATTGTCGTATGAGCCCGGCGCGTTTGAGGTAGTCGCGCATTCCGTCGGATAGTTCGTCGATGGTGGTTTCGCCGGTATGCAGTCGGGTTAGTGCGAGCTTCACGCCGTGGGGTAGGCGGCGGATTGTTTCGTCGGGGTTGGCTTTTGAGGTGGCGGCCATGGTGTTAGTCCATTTCT